TACGTATTAGGCATGTACAATGATTAAATAAGAATGTTGTGATTCGTTTTCCTCTCACACACATGCACACCCACACCAGCTTATGTGTAATACTCATTGTTTAAGGGACAAAACTTGCCTGAATAATAATAATAATAATAATAACAATAAATGAATATTTATTTGGAATTTATCTAGCATGTATATGTAAAGAAATGTTTTGATGATTTAATATAAAAGTCAACATGTATAAGAATAGTTTTATTTAATTGGTCAGATGCATTACTAATACCATATAATAAACAGTACAGATTTGAATATCCTAATAGATTATAAATAGTGGTAATATGCCTAAAATTTGAATACAGAGGACATTGAAAGAAAAAATGTATTAGATCTTCCCTCTGTGCACCACATACACAGGAAGCATCATCAATCAGATGGTCTTGTAACTTATCAAAGTTAAGATCACTTTTAAAATTTCTTAGCTGACATAACATGATGTTAAGTTTCCTCGGAACACAGTTGATGAAAGTTTCTGAGACAGATGTAAAAAAAAAAGTTTCTTTTTAAAAGATAAAATTGAGATAGAATCTCGTCGGTGCTATCAAGTGCATTCCATTTGACTATTGTAGAAGGGAAGAAGCTATTCATATAAGTAGCAGTTTTTGTCTGTGGTATTTTAAAGAATCTGCTATTTCTGTAGGTATAGTTATTACTTCCATTTAGAAATGGTTGAATGATATCATCGAGATAAGTTGGAGTGTAATTATTAAGAATCTTATACATTAATGTTAGTTTATGATTTTGTCTTCGGGACATCAGCGTTTTAGAATCCTTGCAAAGACATCATGTAAATACCACCCTTTTATTTGTTCAATTATGTGCACATTGCTTGTTAAATGTATGAAAGTGATTGCAAGCCTTTGTTGTTTGTTTTCACAATTATAACCATTACTATTATCCATATGTTGTAAATTAAAGCGCCTTAGAGTAGTTTTACAAATGATATAGGGCGCTATATAAATGTTGTATATTATTATTATTATTTTAATGTTTCAAGTTGTGTTTCAGTATACAGAATGTGATGAGATGTACCTCGTCTAGTTGAACTGATTCTAAAAGATCTGATTCAGATTTGGTATAATTATCCCATACTATATCAGAATATTCTAACACAGGACTTATACAAGAGACATATAATGTTTTTAATGTATTCCTTTTTAAAATCCTAAGAATACTTAGTCTAGTTAGCTCTTTTATAAATGTTTGAAATGTGATCTGCCCATGTCCCTTTACTGTTAAACTTAGTCCTAAGTGAGTATGGTGTTCATGTTGTGCAATTGGAGTATTGTTAAATAGCAGTTGAGGATGATTGTTAATGTGTCTAAGAGAGAAGTTAATAGCTACAGTCTTATTCGGATTGAATAGGATCTGCCATTGCATTGACCATTCAGAGATTGATTCAAGATCATCATTGTGCATGTTAGTAGGGGTTGTAAGGTCATTGTTATTATTTACTATAACATAGAGAGAGGCATCATCTGCAAATAGTTTTATTCTGTCTTTGCGTATTGCAGAGTTATCTGCTCTTGTGAGCAGGTATTGATTGTTACCTCATTTGTTTGTGAGAGCAACGTCATCAATTTTTGAGAAAACGACATAATTCTCACACAAACCAATGACGTAACAATCAATACCTGCTCACAAGAGAAGATAACTCTGCAATACGCAAAGACGGATTATTAAAGGTTACATTGTTAGTAATAACATAAATAAAAAGAAGAAAGAGGAAAGGACCAAGGGCAGATCCTTGAGGAACCCCTGTAGAAATAGGTTTGGTACTAGATTTATAACCTTCAAAGATAATCCTTGGTTTTCTGTACAGATAAGTAAGCTCAAAAGCTAAATTTTGCCCAATCATGTTCCCTATTTTTATTTTTAGCTATTCCATGTATCCTATTCTTTTATCTTAATTTATGCAGTATTTCACCAGTCATCCAAGGTTTGTCATCAGGATGGACAGTAATTGTTTTATGAGGTATATGGGAGTTAGTAGCAGAGTTTATTCTGTTTATAACAGTGGAATATATTTCATTAATGCTAGTAGTGTTATTAACTATGGAATCCCAATCATTACTAAGTAGTTCATTATTAATCGCATCCCAATTAGCTTCATTGAATTTATATATAGGTTTCTTGAATGGTTTATTTTTTAGTGTTTTAAAACAAATGTTAGCAAGAATGGAGCAGTGATCACTACAAAGAGGGAAAAATACTTGTGTTGAGTTAAATTTTTTAAGATTATTAGTAATAAATACATCAATTAAGGTAGCAGTAGTGTTTGTTATGCGTGTTGGTGATTGTATTAAGTTTTTAAGTGATATTTAGTAATTAACCTTGCAAGATGTGAATTAGGTTCCAAAATGCTATCAAGTTTATTCCAGTAATTTTTTTTGTATTAGGTCTATAAAGGCAACATAGAAGTTATTTTTTGTTAGAAGTGTTAATTTCTAGGATGACAAGTTCCATGTCTTCGGTTTCAAGATCAGTTCTGTGATTTATTATGAGGTTGTTTTTAGTATATATCATAATACCACCACAGTGTTGTGATTGTCTGTCTCTACGATATGAGTTGGGATGTGATTTAATTTGCAAATCAGATTCAGCTATTTCATTATTCAGGTGAGTTTCAGTAAGACATAAGATGTCATAGTCAGTGAATTCAGTATCTTTAAAATCAACCTTGTTCCGAAGAGATCTAACATTTAAGTGAATTATTGATAAATCATTATAGTAGTTACTTTGATTAATACTGATTGATGAGGGACCTGGATTAGAGTGAATATTTCTTGACATCAAAAGTAGTAGTTTTATAACAAACAGACTGCATATAATATCTTGAGTATACATGTAGTGATATCATATTGGTATTACAGGCAGTAATAAAGCAAGATCTATAGCATAGCTAACAATCACACACAAACATACTACTAACATTTGAAAAAAAAAAAACACTGTTAAATTCTGCAGAAACTAGAGGAAAGAAATAACAGAATGTGGGAAACAGTAATTTGATATATTAAATATAAATTTTATAGGGAGTGGTATACTGAAGTATTATCAGCACACTTAATAACTATCCTAGCTATAGGCCTACTGGTTACTCAGTTTGTTAAAGGCTTGAACATACTTATGACCCCAGTGATCTTTAAAGTAGGTCAAGGTCATTCATGTGAACAAGCTGACATGAAAGTGGAATTATAATTATCTAGTGCCTATTTTTGCCTGCAGTAGAATGGGATCTGCAAATAACATTATTGCTGTAGTACTTCATTATGATGCATGAAACTTGTGAATTGCTCTAGAAATGTAGAAACAACTGTAACCTAAGTGCACTAATATGAGTCAAGAAACAGTAAATCTAAAATACTACTGTAATGACATTTCTCCCACGATCACTGTAGGTTTCCTCACCCATGACTCATTAGATCTGCTTCGAGTTTGTGAACAGTTTTGATAACCCACTAGTGGGCAACACCCTGGAGGTGATTTCATTGGTCAATCTGTGATTTATTACGTCATATATAACAATGCTTTTCGACATGCTCTATGGCAATTGTTTCCCCATCGGAAATTCACATGATGTATTTTCCAAGGTAAAAAATACGGTTTTTTTTTAGATAAAATATGAATATTATGGGAACAACCTGTCCCCAAACTCGTGGTGATTAGTTATCACGTTTATCTAACTCTCGTTAGTAAATTTTCAAATTGTAAGACACTCGTTAAACCTCGTGTCATTATACAAATGGAGGATTAACTAACTTGATTTAGATAAACATGATAACCAATCACCTCTCCTAGGGGAACCTCTATTTAACTTGGATTCACCGTTTCTTGTCAAGGGAATATATATATATGCAATTATTTTTTTATAATTTGTAATTGTAATTTCAACGCCATGTATGTGCGCAAAACAATCTATCAAATGTCCCTTTCAGCAAAAAACAACATTTTAACCCCTATGTAGCTTTAATTAACTCTACCATGCATTAATCTGGACGAGTCCATTATAGTGTTAAGTGGTGAAAGGGTTAACAGAACAGAGTTTCACCCATCGTTTAATTTGACATTGCTCCAAATACAGGATGACCAAAAATTACTGCCATCATTCTTTTGGAGGGAAAATGAGCTCACAAAATATCTACACTATATGCCTGGAGGACATACTTAAATGCATTCTCATACTAGACATGCATAAAATTCATTTAGAAATCACTATTGATGACAAAAATGTTCTACATCAGCATAAAGATCCGTACTCCAAATCCTGAACTTTGTATTCACATAATTGAAAACATAACAAAGTTTGATCTAAATCAATTCAAATATAATGCTGATACCCTGAAACATGAACTCGTTTATAAAACTTTCATACACTCACCTATCAATACAATTATAGGTTTATTAAGACACATTTACCGGTACTGCAGTAGCTAGAGGTATAGCAAGAGGAAAAAAATACATGTACAAACAGAAGGCTACATCCGTTCCAAAATCTCATCCCGAGGGGGAAACAACACTTTACTCGAGACACAAGATTAACATCTAAGTAAAGTTTGTCGAAAACTTTCCAACGACAATTATTATAGGAAAAAATCCAAAATTGTAAATAGGCAATCGTATAATTTTAGGAATTTTTGTAAACATTTGCTTATTACAACTGGACGAGTCAGAAATGTTTCTGTCCTATATTCTATATTTGGGCCCTGCATTTATACAACACTGAATCCTCTTCATCCAGGGACAATTGATAAAATGCTAAAGATCATAATATAATGTTGATCTTCAGTTATCTCTTAAATCAAAGAATCTGTTGGTATTGAATGTTTAGCAAGCAAGAAACTTATCAATATATAAATGTGATAGATGCACAGTACTATTTATATATAAAACAAACAATTTATTCTTAGACCAGTTATAAACACCAACTCAGACTAAATCAATACAAACAAAGATTTTTCTTTTGATTTATTTAATAAATCTGATATCCTCTCTTTGTAATTTAAATTTGACAATTTTACACAAATATTATAACACATGACATATATTAAACTATTACAAATAAAAAAACTGCAAAAACAACTTAACATAAGAAATTGAGAGGTCCTGCATAAATGAAAGCACTAAACTGATGTCGAGTTAACTGTTTCTTCATTTACTTCAGCAGGATTTCAAAACAATATCACGGACTATTTATATAATTATTCATCTATGAGAACATATGGCAAAATATGCAAAACGTCACCATTATATGATGAACTTGACATGGTTTGTGTCCAATCACACCAACTTCCATATGTATTACGGACACCATTTACACCTTCCCACTGTTCCTCTAGCACACGATGAACATCTTGATCACTCACAGACACGCCTTCCACTGGAATAGGTTCAGACACATCCTCTGCATCCTCTGTATACACATTATCATAATCAATAGGTGGAAGCAAATTATAGGCCTCCTCCAAAGTTAATGGTTTTACGCGTTCCTCCGTAGGTACACTATTGCTCTCTGTATCAGCAAGTTCTACCTGTTTAACCTCTGCTGGGCGAAAACTTGTGTCTCCGCCTGAACTGTTCGTCACGTCTACCTCTAGACTCGAGTCATATTTACCAGGTGTATATGGAGATTCTTCTTTGTTGATTTCATATTTATTTGGCGTAACAGATGTTTGTAAAAATTTCTCAACAAGTTCCGTTTTTGTCTTGCTGAGAGTAAGATGAGACCTGATAGGAGTGGAGGTGTCCGGTTTCAGTCTCCGTTTTTTACCCACTCCTGGAGGAAGTACAGAATCGGGCACATCAGATTCTTTGTGTATCTGATTTGTCTCTATATCTCGGATAACACTACGTCCCAATGCTGCGCTGCCACTCTTTGCTTGCAAGTCTGCTATTAGCTGGGCTGTGGTTTTCACTTTGGGCGTCTTCCCAGATAATGTTGCTTTTTCTGATGTCACTTTTGGTGTGGTATCAGTTTTTAACAACAGATTAACATTTCTCTTATTTGAAAAACTGCCTTTGCCATCGGGAGTTGAAGCACTGGGGCTATGTCCAATTTCTGATAAACTTGCATCAATGCTTGATAATGTGGATTGCAAGGAGCCATTCATAGCTTTTTTGTATGATCCGCTACAATTATCACTGTTTTGCATACGTGCAATTTTACTGGGGTGCCCCGAGCCGTTCACATCCTCTCGTGATCGCTTTTTGTTGGCAACATTAGTTTTTACATTCAAGCTTTGATCTGGCTTTGTAGCCTTAATAGCCTTTGGTGGAGAGACTGTTTTAGAGACTAAAGGAACGTCACTGGAATGATTTGAACTGTTCTGGTGTCTTTCCTCAGTGTTATTATGTATGGATGAGTTTGATAAACTCTCATGAGATAGATTTCTAGGCAACCTCCCTCCAGATTGTTCAGGCCCATTACAGACTGACTGTGGGGTCAGGGGCCTACTAGTACTTCCACATTCTGAGGGTGTGAGAGGTCTGCCCAGACTGGATTCTATAGAGCCTGATGGAGATGCTGCACGACTGGAATTCTCAAGTACTGCTACCTTAGACGAGTTGATGGATACCTTAGACGAGTTGATGGATACCTTAGGCGAGTTGATGGATACCTTAGGCGAGTTGATGGATACCTTAGGCGAGTTGATGGATACCTTAGGCGAGTTGATGGATACCTTAGGCGAGTTGACAATTTTTTGGTTAAGACAATATTTCGGAGAATCAGTTCTTATTAGGTTTGGAGATTGTCCCATCTTGGAATTCTGAGGCAAATTGGGTGTATTTGGTTTACTTCTACCTCGTTGTTGTAATTGCTGATTAGGAGTATTTGGTTTACTGTTGAAAGTTGCCGGACTCTGTGGCAGTTTTGGTGTACTTGGTTTACTTTTAATTCTTTGAGATAGCTGCAAGTTTGGTGTTGTTGGTTTCACCGAATGTGATTTTGAAGGACTAGATCGAACACTTGCATTTTGTGCATTCACTCTGTTTAGTGCCGGAGACACTAACTTTTGTGGGAACGCTGGACTGTTAGGACAAGATGACGCATCACCACCCTGAAGAGACGACCACTGGGTGTGCTTTCTAGCTATCGTTTCTCCATTATCTTTATCACCATTAACAGGACCATGATCGGACTGTGGAGTGGCTGATATAAGTTTCTGCCAGTTCCGCACCAGTTTCTTTGCTCGTTTGGCCAATTGATCATTAGAAGTTTTCCTTCTAAGTTCATTGACAGTCCTGCCGATCCTTGTTTGCTGTAAACAAAAAGAAAAGGACATCTCATCATGTATTTATGAAACTTGATTTGATCAAAATTCTTTCAACCACAGGTTAATTTGCCATATATATAACCCTTCCCTTCTCATGCAGTCTTTTTTTATTTTTTATTTTACACAATATTGTGTGCCCCCCCCCCCCCCATCTAAATAAAAGGATATTTTAAACAAATCAAATAATACTTGCAAGTAATGTGTGAAGTTTTTCATTAAAGACAAAGTTGAAAATAGTTTAATTTTAATTACTGTCCTAAGGTCATTTAAGAACATCAGTGATAACTGATAAATGTCTTGGTCCATTATGTGGTATCGGTGATTAGGAAGGCGATACTCCATAATGGACCAAGACATTTATGAGTACAGTTGAATGTTCAAAAATTGAATCAATCTTTCCTACTCTCTATCCTGTCCATGAGAATTGTACATGTAGTGCTTTCCTTACAATGTAGAAGTTGGATAGCAGAAATTGCCACGTCTTATTATAAACAAAAGACATTCACAAACCTCCAAGGCCTCTCGGGTGATTGGATATGTCTCCAACACGGTGATGACCGCCAAAACTCCTGCCATATCGACCACCTGCAAAACACAGAGAAATAATTATTACTGTTCAAATAAATAGGTTTAATGAGATATAAAAGAAAACATTAACGCTAGACTGCTAGTAAAATTGTTCAAATTATTTTGTTCAGTAAGTGATAGTTGTTATGGAAAGACATCTACTTTATAAAATATATAACACAGAATGAGAATTTACTGTTGGAAATATCCCTAACCGATATGTGGACCAAAAAGTGCAGTCTCATCTTGCGTCCCTGATGACACCATTTTCACACAAGTTTCCCATTTAATTTATACTCTAAACACTAGTGCTGTCCATCATAGGAAAAGCAGAATTTGGTGACTTTCAATTGACCACAATAGACATTATATTTTCAAAATCATAATCTAAAACATGTAATCCCTTATAGTTTCAATTTTGAGATGTATGAAGTGTTAGTGCAATGGAACATCATTTCTTGTGTATCTGGAAAGGTTTATAGTGGATGGTAGGTTAACGGTTAATGGTTAACATTTAAGAATCAACTACATTCTGTCAAGAGTTACAGTCTGGTTCCAAACAGGATTGCAGACAAATCAATGTGCAACTGATTTGAAATTTGTCTGCAATCCTGGTCAATATTATTGGGACTGTAATTCTGAACTGAATACAGTTAAATATTTTCTAAATGGTTCAGTCAACATTAAGTATCAGCCAGCTATCTCCAACACTGACACAACACAATTGTAATGATTGAACAATTGACCCTCACCCCATGTTACTGCGTCTCATAGCACACTGCTCACTTGGCAAGGTTTACAAAGTTGCAATGCATAATTATAACCCCCCCAAAAAAAGAATAGAATAAGATTGAATGATATATTATTTTAGTTGTCAATTGATATTTTTTACAAAATGTCCTGTAAACAATCTGCATGCAGCAAGATGCAATTATCTCACATACACCCAGTCAGTACAGTAACAGAGAAATATTGCAGAATTTCACCATGGTATTTAAATTTCAAGTTTAAAGCTTAATATCTATTACCAAACTGTTAGCGGTACATCTCTTAAATTTTAAAACCCTTAACGTTTCCATCTTTGATATCCAATCGAAAAAAGTGATCAAAATATTCATCATCAAGGTGTTACAGGCGATTTATATTTTGTCACAACATTCTAATGGTGATGATCTATTAGAAGATATATGAATTTAATCCCCCCTTAAGAATTTAATTTGTTTAGTTAGAAATCGTATTTGATTAAATATCTCAAGTATGTGCTATCCATTTTAACATTTGACTCGCCAATCAAAGGAGAAAGATTGACATGACTTTTCTTTTTACATGATCATAATAGTAAAATAGAGACATTGTTAGCTACTGTATAGTGTACATTTATGTATGTCAGTATGTAAGGCTGCATAGTATTTATTTTTTTAACTCATCTAAGTTTCCTGAAACATGAATCAACTTAAGTTTCGGGGTAAAAATCACAACAAAACTACATCATATTATACTACAGGATGTAAGCCACACAATGCAGTTTAGATAGTCAATACATCCATGTAATAAGTAAAGTTAATCAATTACAATCCAAACAGATTCTAATGCAACCATGTAGATAAGGCCTAATATCTTGATCTATTAATAGAGAGGAAATGCAAGAGATGACCCAAGATGACACTAAGAAGTGTATAAACCATACTACACGTGCACCAATACTGTAGCTTTTCAAAATAAAGTTTAGCATTAGAAATTCAGGCAATACCTATCTAAACACCACAGCATCAGTCCATACCTGAGGGACCATTCCATTTTATTGTACTTATAAGCAATCAATAAATACTGCGATGAAGTTCAGATACTTTGATCCAAAACCATGTGGTTTCATCGGCTATATTTAGACAATGGTGAAGGGATACTGTGAGGATCAAATGACCGGTTTCGTGGCGATTTCATTACATGTACCCAACTGGTGTGCGTGTAAATTAAGCGACACGTTTCTAGCCATAAGCCCAAGGCAACAAAATGTGCCAGACACACGACAGCAGTCATAATATGACTGCACAAATAAGGGCAACTTGTATAATATTCACTATGCAATTGTTTTTCGATAATTATTATCATGTTCATAGATCGAATAAATAGCATTAAAACCGACATTAATGGTAGAATTTTAGACCAGCCTTAATTATATCGGACCATGCACGCGACAACAGCACAACTTTCTCCCAAACTGCAACAGTCGTGTATCGGACTGTTCACTATCGGCCACCTTCCTCATGCCGGGACAAAAAACATCGCATAACCGCATCCAAATACCAAATTTCTTACATTATTATCTTCATCAAGAGCCTTCAGCAACTTCTCCTTTATTTCGACAGGAGTACACTGCATTGGGATGCCCAAAAGCCCCCAACTGAAGGGAATTCAGCCAACAGAGTGACCGATATCGTCCCACCAGTATGGCGGCCCTCCATACATTGTGCGAATCTGTGCAGCGCATTGACATCTGGGAAGCCTCTCCAATAGCGTGACGTAGAATGACGAACGACAGCTCGGCCTAACTCGTGCGCCAATCGACCCCACGTGATTATGCTAATGTGGTAATATGACGTAGAAAAAAGAGTGCCCATTTGAAATTAGAAATTACGAACTAAGACCATTTCAGTGGTATTTCTAATGCGTCTATTACACAGTGAATTTATTTGAGCTACTAAAGCAGGTGAACTTTTTGTATCATAACAGCATGTTATAAACTTAAATAATCAGTTGTAAATATTTTCCACTAGATGGCGTTCTGGATATGACCTTTTCGGAAATGTATCGGTTAATTTTATTGGTGAATTAAATGTTTTTCTTATGTGTCTTTTGATTGGATACATCATTAGTCGTTCGGAAGCTTGGGCATTTTCTTTCTTTGTAAGGGCAGTTATTGAAAGGTTCCGATAACAAAAAAGTATTTCCGGCATGTAAAGACTGAAAATTGCAGAATCGTCATGAAATAATGCATTAACAGCAAGTCTGGTTAAAATGGTAGGTAACAGTTTGAGTAAGCAAACACTTTCAAGATACGGGAAGTGTATGTCCGATTAAAACACCTGTAAATTGTAATGTATTGTTTAGCACGTCCCGTTTCCAAACGTAACACGACCACGTGTTCCGTGCTCCATCCCCCCCCACAAGACATACTTACCACAAACATTGTACTGTACTTACCTCGTCACCGGGGGTTAATTACAAATGACTGAAATACACATGCTTTACTGATATGGGTCACAGCACACATGTGGTTAGAACTATAACTGTATTTTTCTTTATTATAAATGTAAAATTACCAAAAAAATGATTCGATGTTTATTTTTATATTAAAAAAATAAATATAAAATCTTCTTTTCAAAGTGTCATTTTCGTTTTAAAAGAAAATTATGTGAAAATAATTCAAAATACCTATTCCAAATAGGTTGATACAACTCTTATATTACATGTCTTGACAGCTATATAGCTAATTGGTATTGTAGTAGGACGAGGAATAGTGATAAAGATGGTGCCATCGCTGGGGCTCAAACTCGCGACCCTTGGCTCTCCAGCCCAATGTTCTACTGCTGAGCTAAAGGGATAGCTCGAGTTTCCTCCAGCCTTTTCACTACTCCTACAACATAAGAGGCCGCTGTCAGCCTTTTTTTAAATCGGATATGATTTTGCCTAAGTATCTCTCTGTGTAAACCTCTAATACTGTTGGAGTAGCCCTGACACCAGACTTAAGACCATTTTACATATTGATGTATGGTGTGGGGCCACAGCCGCTACTATATGAAAATGTGGAATTCTACCACACCGTTTGGTATCGGGGAGTTTTGAGGTGGTGACAACAAAAGTCTACTATGACACAACACATCCCTCCACATATATCGATAAATGGATTATTTATTGATTCAAATCAGCTCTTATTATCACAGAGTCCTCAGTTTCAATCGTTTATAAACCTCCTACCTGAGCAAACACCATTTTGCAGGTCATTGGAGTGACTAATCAACAAACCGTACTGATCTGGACCAAAAACGGAAAATATTATTCTTGTTTAGAAGATTTCTGGACTGTGTCTTTTTGTTTACTAGTCACTCCCAGATACCAAACAGTGTAGGGAATTCCACATTTTCATATAGTAGTGTGCTCTAGCCCCACACCAGACATCTATCAGTTAAAATGTTAAAGTCTGGTGTGCATGTCGGGGCCAGTGGAAACCCAAGCTATTGGTAGTGTACTGGACGTAGAGCAGGGGTTCATTCTTTATCTTAATAAAGAAGTTTTGTATTTTAATTAGAAATTAAACGCCAGTGCTTATTTCAAGAAAGGAAAAATACTCTGCCAGACCAGGATTCAAACCTGTGACCTTATAAGGACGCTTTAATCTGGTTGCTGTTCTTGACTCTGTCAAGTTCTGCTACATTCTTCTCTTTATACCTTCCCACCCCCCAACAAAGTTAGAGGGGGGGAGGGGTATACTGGATTCAGCTTGTCTGTCCATCTGATATGGTGATATATTGCAATACAGAATGAATATACATTTGTATTGCGAAATGAAACCTGATATGTTGTCATAGGAAAGATGTGCTCATTTTTAGGTCACCTGAGACAAAGGCTATTTTAATCGCCTTTTGTCCGTCGTCCGTACATTTTCGACTTCTCAGAAACCGCGGATCCAATTTCAATAAAAAAAATTGCAGGAATCTTCCTTGGTCAAATATGCACCAAAATTGTGAATAATTTGGTTCCCTACCCTAGAGGCTCTGAGGGGCGGGGCTAAAAGTGGTCAAATTGGCTTAAAATTTTAAAATCTTCTCAAGACCCAGATATACTGGAAACCAATACTCTTCAAAGGTGGAAGGGTCCTGTGGTACTTTATCAAAATTGTGAATTTCATGACCCTCAAGCTTGATGTTTGCCCCTGGGGAGGGGGTGAAATTTACTATAGTTTATATAGGAACATGCAACTTTTGGGTATATTTTGTTCATTTTCTACTGGAAATCATTCAGACTTGATTTACATTATAACCATGAGATGACAGTTTGATACTTTGACATAACTAACCCTGTCTCGACCCCAGGGGCTGAGGGGCGGAACCCAAATGGGATCATTTAGCCAGAAATTTCATCTTCTCCAGACTGAGATAGGCTGGAAATCAATACTCATCATAGATGGAAGGGTCTTGAGGTGCTTTATCAAAATTTGTGAATTTTATGACTCCCAAGACTCCATGTTTGCCCCTGGGGAGAGGGCGAAAGTTTACTATAGTTTAGTTAGGAAAATGATACTTTTGGGTATGTTTGGTTCATTTTCAATTGGAAATTATTCAAACTTGACAGACATTATAACTATGAAACGACAGTTTGATACTTTGACAGATTGGGCCCGGGCCCGCCCCAAGGGCTGAGGGACAGGGCTAAAAGGGGTCGAATTTGCTTAAATTAAAAAATCTTATCCAGACCAAGATATGCTGGAAACAAATAATCAACATAGATGGAAGGGTCTTAAAGCGCTTTATCCCCTGGGGATGGGGTAAAGTTTACTATAGTTATATAGAAAAATGATACTTTTGGGTATATTTGGTTCATTTCCAATTGGAAATCAACTCAGTTGACCGTTAAGGCCCATGGGCCTATTGTTATAATAATAAGTTTTCAGAATGTTATCAAACTTAATCATGTATAATATGGATCTCAAAGATTTTAGATTTTTGTCAAACCAACCATCTATTACAAAATTGGAACTAATTCCCACCACTATTAAAAGCCTGTTTTATGCTTATTGGCATATCTGTTAGAATTTGTTGTAGTTTGCAAAGTTAAAACACCAAGCAGAATGAGATACATAAAAATAAGATTTTAAAAAAATATTGTGATACAGCAATGCAATATTTCATCTCTGTATTGTGGTACGATATGATATACCTGTGTATTGCGATATTACCTGTTTTCCAATATATTGCGACAGCCCTACATTTGTCCATTTATGGCCTCATCAGGCAATTGTGAACTTTTAGCCATAAGTTGTCTGATGAACTCATTAATGGGCAAAAGCATTAGCGACTCTGTGTAACTGTTTGTTTATCTTTATTATACCGATCCAACCGACACTTTTTATTGATACATATTGCAGATACACAGGGATACAAGTGACTGATAACAACTGTTGATAAAATGCTGTACATGTCATTGTCCTGTTATCTCCCTTGTTGTGATGAACACCTGTCTGTGTTATCAGGTTTGGGCAGGTACTCTTTACCTACAAAGTTTAATTTTCATATGTCCATGTACAGCATCGGTTCTGCTTAAATACATTGAGTAATTTCTAAAGGACTAACTTCAACATGTTAAATTTCTGTGAACGTTGGTCAAGTTTGCAAACAATCATTATTCATCTCTGTGGCTACAGAAACACCACACTACATTCATGTCAATGTAATACTGCTCTCATTGATGAAATGCTGCTTTAACACCAGTTACTTTCAAATAACTGGTATGAAATATTTCTGTCGCAGAGACAGCTGTTCACTTAATATATATCAGACGTATTATTATCTTAAGTTTCATTTTAACCTTATATACATGTAATGTATTATAATAATTTTTGCACTGAAATATATGAATATAATTTCAATGTTTGAATACAGTAAATATAGATTAACATTAATGCGTTACTGAGAGAACATATTTCATTTATAGCAGGCTGTATTGTTGTTGTGGAATATTGGTATCATTCTTCTTTGCTTACAGCTTATTTTCTTTTGTAAGGTCAAAATATGAATAAGAATATTTAAACAATTATTAAAACAAAATGTAAATGTCCTAGATTTCAAAACGATCACTCAGAAAATATGAGTACCAGGTAAACAAAATATACAGTGTATTTTCATTCGTTGTAAAAAGATTAATTTGAAAAGTTGTCACTTGATTAATGTAAAAATGCTAGATATGGCACGATCCTTATTTACAAATGGTCTTGAAATAAGTTTTCTATCGGTTTTAAGCCTGGGAAGAAGAAGCCGTTCATTGACAAGAAGAATGCAGTGACCTTCCACCTTGTCCACAGAAGTCAGAAGGACCCACTTCAGGCCAGCGAGGAGGCGTCCAAGCATGTCCTGCTGCAAGCTGTCACTAAAAAGGTTAGCCAGCAGAACCTAAGCATCATGTCGGTGAAGAAGAGTTAATCTAAAAACAGGCTTTTTGGTCATAAAAACCTATTTCTAGAAACATTATCAATGAAAATATGATGCATTAAAAGTCACTATACTGCTGTACAGTTGCTAATATTCACGAGGGTTTTAATTTTGCGAATGCATTTAAATTTGCAAAATAAAAACCCTCATGAATATATTTTGAGATAGTCAGGTTGTTCGATGCTATTAGTTATAAGCAATTGGAATTCTTTGCGAGGTGTTCTGAAAAAGACTTACCGAAATTGTGATGGAGGTTAGAAGACTGGTGAGTGGTCGACTATTTGAAGTTGACTGAAATAATTTCTCACCACATCTTACCGCTGTTTATTTTCCAAAAGTTCACTTAATATGTTTGTAGGTGTAGCTTGGTGGGGAGGAATATGTTGATGTTATGTTTTGTTGTTTGGACTTGATGAAGCAGAAGGAGGAGGAACACAAGTATACTGTTATATTTGTGTGAGTAGAGCTTGGTGGGGAGGATGAACACAAGTATAATGTTATATTCGTGTGGGTAGAGCTTGGTGGGGAGGAGGAACACAAGTATAATGTTATATTCGTGTGGGTAGAGCTTGGTTGGGAGGACGAACACAAGTATAATGTAATATTCGTGTGGTTAGAGCTTGGTGGGGAGGAGGAACACAAGTATAATGTTATATTCTTGTGGTTAGAGCTTGGTGGGGAGGAGGAACACAAGTTTAATGTTATATTCGTGTGGGTAGAGCTTGGTGGGGAGGACGAACACAAGCATAATGTTATTTGTGTGGGTAGAGGTTGGTGGGGAGGAGGAACACAAGTATAATGTTATATTAGTGTGGGTAGAGCTTGGTGGGGAGGAGGAACACCAGTATAATGTTATATTTGTGTGGGTAGAGCTTGGTGGGGAGGAGGAACACCAGTATAATGTTATATTTGTGTGGGTAGAGCTTGGTGGGGAGGACGAACACAAGTTTAATGTTATATTCGTGTGGGTAGAGCTTGGTGGGGAGGATCAACACCAGTATAATGTTATATTCGTGTGGGTAGAGCTTGGTGGGGAGGATGAACACAAGTATAATGTTATATTCGTGCAGGTAGAGCTTGGTGGGGAGGACGAACACAAGTTTAATGTTATATTCGTGTGGGTAGAGCTTGGTGGGGAGGAGGAACACAAGTATAATGTTATATTTGTGTGGGTAGAGCTTGGTGGGGAGGAGGAACACAAGTATAATGTTATATTTGTGTGGGTAGAGCTTGGTGGGGAGGAGGAACACAAGTATAATGTTATATTTGTGTGGGTAGAGCTTGGTGGGGAGGAGGAACACAAGTATAATGTTATATTTGTGTGGGTAGAGCTTGGTGGGGAGGAGGAACACAAGTATAATGTTATATTTGTGTGGGTAGAGCTTGGTGGGGAGGAGGAACACAAGTATAATGTTATATTTGTGTGGGTAGAGCTTGGTGGGGAGGAGGAACACAAGTATAATGTTATATTTGTGTGGGTAGAGCTTGGTGGGGAGGAGGAACACAAGTATAATGTTATATTTGTGTGGGTAGAGCTTGGTGGGGAGGAGGAACACAAGTATAATGTTATATTTGTGTGGGTAGAGCTTGGTGGGGAGGAGGAACACAAGTATAATGTTATATTTGTGTGGGTAGAGCTTGGTGGGGAGGAGGAACACAAGTATAATGTTATATTTGTGTGGGTAGAGCTTGGTGGGGAGGAGGAACACAAGTATAATGTTATATTTGTGTGGGTAGAGCTTGGTGGGGAGGAGGAACACAAGTATAATGTTATATTTGTGTGGGTAGAGCTTGGTGGGGAGGAGGAACACAAGTATAATGTTATATTTGTGTGGGTAGAGCTTGGTGGGGAGGAGGAACACAAGTATAATGTTATATTTGTGTGGGTAGAGCTTGGTGGGGAGGAGGAACACAAGTATAATGTTATATTTGTGTGGGTAGAGCTTGGTGGGGAGGAGGAACACAAGTATAATGTTATATTTGTGTGGGTAGAGCTTGGTGGGGAGGAGGAACACAAGTATAATGTTATATTTGTGTGGGTAGAGCTTGGTGGGGAGGAGGAACACAAGTATAATGTTATATTTGTGTGGGTAGAGCTTGGTGGGGAGGAGGAACACAAGTATAATGTTATATTTGTGTGGGTAGAGCTTGGTGGGGAGGAGGAACACAAGTATAATGTTATATTTGTGTGGGTAGAGCTTGGTGGGGAGGAGGAACACAAGTATAATGTTATATTTGTGTGGGTAGAGCTTGGTGGGGAGGAGGAACACAAGTATAATGTTATATTTGTGTGGGTAGAGCTTGGTGGGGAGGAGGAACACAAGTATAATGTTATATTTGTGTGGGTAGAGCTTGGTGGGGAGGAGGAACACAAGTATAATGTTATATTTGTGTGGGTAGAGCTTGGTGGGGAGGAGGAACACAAGTATAATGTTATATTTGTGTGGGTAGAGCTTGGTGGGGAGGAGGAACACAAGTATAATGTTATATTTGTGTGGGTAGAGCTTGGTGGGGAGGAGGAACACAAGTATAATGTTATATTTGTGTGGGTAGAGCTTGGTGGGGAGGAGGAACACAAGTATAATGTTATATTTGTGTGGGTAGAGCTTGGTGGGGAGGAGGAACACAAGTATAATGTTATATTTGTGTGGGTAGAGCTTGGTGGGGAGGAGGAACACAAGTATAATGTTATATTTGTGTGGGTAGAGCTTGGTGGGGAGGAGGAACACAAGTATAATGTTATATTTGTGTGGGTAGAGCTTGGTGGGGAGGAGGAACACAAGTATAATGTTATATTTGTGTGGGTAGAGCTTGGTGGGGAGGAGGAACACAAGTATAATGTTATATTTGTGTGGGTAGAGCTTGGTGGGGAGGAGGAACACAAGTATAATGTTATATTTGTGTGGGTAGAGCTTGGTGGGGAGGAGGAACACAAGTATAATGTTATATTTGTGTGGGTAGAGCTTGGTGGGGAGGAGGAACACAAGTATAATGTTATATTTGTGTGGGTAGAGCTTGGTGGGGAGGAGGAACACAAGTATAATGTTATATTTGTGTGGGTAGAGCTTGGTGGGGAGGAGGAACACAAGTATAATGTTATATTTGTGTGGGTAGAGCTTGGTGGGGAGGAGGAACACAAGTATAATGTTATATTTGTGTGGGTAGAGCTTGGTGGGGAGGAGGAACACAAGTATAATGTTATATTTGTGTGGGTAGAGCTTGGTGGGGAGGAGGAACACAAGTATAATGTTATATTTGTGTGGGTAGAGCTTGGTGGGGAGGAGGAACACAAGTATAATGTTATATTTGTGTGGGTAGAGCTTGGTGGGGAGGAGGAACACAAGTATAATGTTATATTTGTGTGGGTAGAGCTTGGTGGGGAGGAGGAACACAAGTATAATGTTATATTTGTGTGGGTAGAGCTTGGTGGGGAGGAGGAACACAAGTATAATGTTATATTTGTGTGGGTAGAGCTTGGTGGGGAGGAGGAACACAAGTATAATGTTATATTTGTGTGGGTAGAGCTTGGTGGGGAGGAGGAACACAAGTATAATGTTATATTTGTGTGGGTAGAGCTTGGTGGGGAGGAGGAACACAAGTATAATGTTATATTTGTGTGGGTAGAGCTTGGTGGGGAGGAGGAACACAAGTATAATGTTATATTCGTGTGGGTAGAGGAATGCAAGTTTGTTGTGTTTTGTGTGTGTTGGTACAGTGTGGTAGATAAAACAGTGTTGAAATATTTAATTCTGTTGTCAGGACTTTGAAGAGAAGAAAGAGGAGGAACAAAAGTATGGGGTATTTTACGATGATGAGTACGACTACATGCAGCACCTGCGAGAAACTAACGAAGCGTGCGAGCTGGAGGCTGTTGACGTCAACCGTATACCATCAAGACAGGAGCAGCAGGTATAGAACAGATTTAGTGGTTTATATTATCAGTATCAGATCTATTTTTATAATATGTTATTCGCAAGAACTTTTTTGCCTTGCAAATTTTAAGAATATGGAACAATCTTCCGGAAAATGTGATATTAGCACCGAATGTAAACACTTTTAAAACTAGACTGGATAAGCATTGGGGGAACCAGGAACGCTTGTATAATTATAGATCTGAGATACGTTAATGATCCAAGTCCAGGAACGCCGGTATAATTATAGATATGAGATATGTTAATGATCCAAGTCCAGGAATGCCGGTATAATTATAGATATGAGATACGTTAATGATCCAAGCCCAGGAACGCCTGTATAATTATAGATCTGAGATACGTTAATGATCAAAGTCCAGGAACGCCGGTATAATTATAGATATGAGATATGTTAATGATCCAAGCCCAGGAACGCCTGTATAATTATAGATCTGAGATACGTTAATGATCCAAGTCCAGGAACGTCTATATAATTATAGATCTGAGATACGTAAATGATCCAAGTCCAGGAACGCCTGTATAATTATAGATCTGAGATACGTTAACGATCAAAGTCCAGGAACGCCTGTATAATTATAGATCTGAGATACGTTAACGATCAAAGTCCAGGAACGCCTGTATAATTATAGATCTGAGATACGTTAATGATCCAAGTCCAGGAACGCCGGTATAATTATAGATCTGAGATACGTAATGATCCAAGTCCAGGAACGCCTGTATAATTATAGATCTGAGATACGTTAATGATCAAAGTCCAGGAAATCCTGTATAATTATAGATCTGAGATACGTTAATGATCCAAGTAACGTCACATTCATCTGTTGTTAAACATTTCAATGTTATGATTTAAAGTCCGGTGAAGAGGATCTTTATATATCCTGTTTTGGTCAATAAACTTCACTTGTTTCAAGAGTTTTATATATATACACTAATGTATTTTGTAAGTTGGTACATATTGATATATATATATATTTATTAATTTGAAGATTAATTTATTGAATTTTATCTCCAGCCTGCCTTTATAGAATTATTGTAGATTATACACGGAAATTTAAAGACAAGTCAGTGATGATACATCAAAGTTGATTACATTACACATAACCAAATAAAAAAGAAAAACATTTCTGATTATTAGTGAAGTAGATGTTATTAATAGTTGACATTAATCACAATGATATTTGATCATTGACAATAGTCACAATGATACTTGATCATTGACAATAGTTACAATGATATTGCTAATACTTTATTTCACGAAACTTTCACTGTATATTTACCTATGTACTAATGTTAAATGTACCTGGTCCATTCGTTAACCAAACTTTGTATAAATGAAATAAGGTGCCTCCAAACATTTCCTGTTTTACACCACAAACCTTTCCTTTCAGGCTGCTAAAATCCAACTCCCATCCACAGCGTTTGCATCAGATATAGAAACTGGAGTAGGGCTTTTAAATAAGGCAGCCCCTAGCACAGGTAAACATTAATGGATATTTTTGAAAGCCTAACAGATATGAGGTCAACTGCGAGTAAGTATAGAGAAGGTTCCATGGCTCAAAATGCTCTGATTTCTTTTAAATTGTAAGTCATTGAACCTTTAGCTTGTTTTGACTAATAACAAATTCAAAGTATGTCAAGGTGTTCAGAACCACTGCTGATACTTTTAAAGCCAAAGAAAATCTGTATGCTTTCAATTTTCTGATTGTATGCAATCATGACTAAAGATTTAGAATTGAAAATTGTATTAAAAGACTGGAATTTTAAGTTGGTTGATATAATAACACAGAACACTATACTAGAGCTGAAGTAGGAAAGTCGTCATTTGTGTTTTAAAATCTATTTTCGTTTTCTGGACCCTGAAAAATTTTGATTGTGTGAATATTTTAAACCTGACTGTATCTAACCTTCACAAGGACCCTAAAAGCATCTGTTGTTTGAAGCTTGACTATCTATACAGGGCCAAAGCTTGACTGGGACCCTGGAAACATCTGTTGTTTAAAAAGCTTGAATATCTATACAGGGCCAAAGCTTGACTGGGACCCTGAAAACATCTGTTGTTTAAAATGCTTGACTATCTATACAGGGCCAAAGCTTGACTGGGACCCGGAGATAGTTGCGGCTCTTGATGATGATTTCAAGTTTGACGATCCTAACAACCAGCTAGATGATGATTTCATGGAACTGGCTAACGCTGAGGGGACGTTTGCAGACGGAAAAGAATTGGACAGGTGAGAATTGGATAAATAATTTGAACAAATCTAAACAGCGTAGAGGGAAGGGTATTAATTCAGTGAGTGAGTAAAGGAAAACATTGTGTACTCAAAAGACAGATGGTATTAGAAGGAACAAACTGGACAGTAAGGAGGTGATGGTTTCAGACAGGACAAAATGGTGAAGCCAGCGTGAAGGTTTCAGACAGGACAAAATGGTGAAGCCAGGGTGATGGTTTCAGACAGGACAAAATGGTGAAGCCAAGGTGGTGGTTTCAGACAGGACAAAATGGTGAAGCCAAGGTGATGGTTTCAGACAGGACAAAATGGTGAAGCCAGGGTGATAAGTTAATAGTTCATTAAATAAAAATATTTCTTGCAACATACCTTGATCAGAAAATTTACAAAAACATGAAAATACTTCTTTGAATAAAGGAAATGTAAATATCCACGTAATTATTTTAAACAAAACAAGGATACTGAAGATTTGATAATGTACACGTAAGTTATGAGGAAACACATGATATTTCGTTACCCGAGCTCAATGAAGAGACCTTATCATGGAACCCCTGAAGTTTGCAAAAAATATGTGGTGGGGGGACTTATAAAAATGGCTCAATAATGCCTAAAATAATGGTAATTTGTTGTCAAGAATGTTGTTAGAATTTCTGGTGGATTATGTCAGCCGATTTTCAGTTTTGATAATGCTTAAAAATTGAAGTAGACATATCAAATGAAAAGAAATTGTAATTCTCACTACAGTAAGCTTCCAGTGTAAATGGCAATAATACCACATTTATTGATCCACCTGACGATAGGAACCTATCTGGTATATTGATAGATGGAAGAAATATCTGTCTTTGTTGGCAGAATTACTGCAAATTGGAAAAATTGAAACAACTACCTTCATCTCCCTAATTCATGCGCACAAATGATGATCTTTCGATACCTGAGCTCTATGAAGAGATCTTATCATGGAACCTCTGAAGTGTGTGTGTTAATCTAAGAAGTCCTGTTAATACTATTGTGACACTGGGAAGTATTTAGAAGGAGTAAAGGTGACAGTCAAGTCCTTGTTTAAAGGAGATACGTGTAACAGTAGAGAAGTCTAGAGAGAGATCCTTGTTTTATGTATCTTTTTGTTAATATTTTATTCACTGTAGAATTGGAATCAAGACGTATAACAATTTGTATGTGGTGTAATTCAGCATTAAAGAATACTGAAGAAAAGTTCCAAGTCCTCTATCGAGTAAGTTAGAGGGAGGACAGAATAGCAGTACCATAGTAAACATTGATAGCTGTAACAGGTTTTGTGTCTGATGATGACTTTGTGTAGTAAACACATTATGCTTACAATTAATCACATATAAAAAAACTAGTGTATTTTAAGGATTGAAAGACTCTTGTTTATAATATATCTGCAGCGTTGTGATTGTGATAAGGATGTGACATACAGATGATGTATACACAGATACCTGACCTCACTGAAGAGATCTTATCTAAGGAACCTCTGATGTATTAGTACAAATGTTAATTTTTATTGATTACATAAAATATTGAGGGTTAGAAAAAAGCAACTATTTTTGTTCTATTCAATTCTTCTTTTTTGGTGAAATGAAACTTTTTCCAGGTCTTGATTAAAAATAACCTATCTTCTACCTATACTAGTTATCCTGGCTAGTTCAGTGTAATGTGTGTGATACCTATTGCCAGTATTGGTATTATAATGGTAAACTTCTTTATTAAATCTGCAAAGGTCTTGTCTGATATAGGAGGTAGACTTTTCTCACCTGTAAAACTTGGCAATGGACCAAAACTTTAATTTCGACGCAAGCAGTCAGTTTATTTACCATGAATCAATGATGGCACTGCCATCGGTAGACACGTCAGCTATTCAGAGCAAATTACAATACTGAAAGAAAAAAATGATCCAGTAAACAATTTACATTTTATTTTTTATTTTTTCATTTCCTTCGTCTCCCCTACCATAATCCATCACATTTAACAGAGGACAGTTACTGTAAGTAAATACTTGTCCCAATAATTCCACACACAGATATGATGATCTTTCGATACCTGAGCTCTATGAAGAGATGTTATCATGGAACCTCTGAAGTGTGTGTGTTAATGTGTTTGAATGAAGGGAAGCTCATAATTACAACCAAACTATGTCTTGAGTAACTTGTATGAAAAAACAATGATGGTGAAATAACCATTTTCAAAGAAAATCAGCAACATTGTTCCGAGTTTACAAATGTGACCAGGAGAGATCAAGATTTGAACCCTGAACCACTAATTGTTAGACTGTAGCACCAACAAAATGTTGTTACTCGTTTTAGATAGTATTTTCTTTTTCTAGATTTCATAAAATAGCTGACAATTACGATATCATATCATTCCATTGTTGGCTTGTTAATGATGGCAAGGGTTTTCATCGATAAGTAGGGACTTGAATTAATTTTTAAAATACTAGCTATAGAATCCTTTAAAATGCCAGTACCTTAAAACATTTATTCGCATCAAAGTCCTTTTAAGGAGGTGACAAGTGTCTGGATTGAAAACACGAGTTGACGTTGTCCCCTTCAATAATCCATTCACAATAATTAGAGGAAACATTACTTTAAGTAAATACTTGTCCCAATAATTCCACACACAGATATGATGATCTTTCGATACCTGAGCTCTATGAAGAGATCTTATCATGGAACCTCTGAAGTGTGTTTGTTAATCTAAGAAGTCCTGTTTAATACTATTGTGACACTGGGAAGTATTTAGAAGGAGTAAAGGTGGCCGTCAAGTCCTTGTTTAAAGGAGATACATGTAACAGTAGAGCAGTCTCGAGAGAGATCCTTGTTTTTGTATCTTTTTGTTAATATTTTATTCCCTGTAGTATTGGATCAAGACATATAACAATCGTTTGTGGTGTAATTCAGCATTAAAGAATACTGAAGAAAAGTTCCAAGTCCTCTGTCGAGTAAGTTAGAGGAAGGACAGAATAGCAGTACCATTGTAAACATTGATAGCTGTAACAGGTTTTGTGTCTGATGATGACTTTGTGTAGTAAACACATTATCCTTACAATTAATCACATATTAAAAAAACTAGTGTATTTTAAGGATTGAAAGACTCTTGCTTATAATATCTGCAACGTTGTGAGTGTTGATAAGGATGTCACATACAGATGATGTATACACAGATACCTGACCTCACTGAAGAGATCTTATCTAAGGAACCTCTGATGTATAGTTGTATAGTGTACAAATGTTAATTTTTATTGATTACATAAAATATTGAGGGTTAGAAAAAAAGCGACTATTTTTGTTCTATTCAATTCTTCTTTTTTGGTGAAATGAAACTTTTTCCAGGTCTTGATTAAAAATAACCTATCTTCTACCTATACTAGTTATCCTGGCTAGTTCAGTGTAATGTGTGTGATACCTATTGCCAGTATTGGTATTATAATGGTAAACTTCTTTATTAAATCTACAAGGGTTTTGTCTGATATAGGAGGTAGACTTTTCTCACCTGTAAAACTTGGCAATTGACCAAAACTTTAATTTCGACGCAAGCAGTCAGTTTATTTACCATGAATCAATGATGACACTGCCATCAGTAGACACGGTAACTATTAAGGGCGAATTACGATACCGGGGGGAAATAATTGATCCAGTAAACAATTTACATTTTATATAAAAAAAATCATTTCCTTCGTCTCCCCTACCATAATCCATCAACTTTAACAGAGGACACATTACTTTAAGTAAATACTTGTCCCAATAATTCCACACACAGATATGATGATCTTTCGATACCTGAGCTCTATGAAGAGATCTTATCATGGAACCTCTGAAGTGTGTGTGTTAATGTGTTCGAATGAAGGGAAGCTCATATTTTTAACCAAACTATGTCTTGAGTAACTTGTATGAAAAAATAATGATGGTGAAATAACCATTTTCAAAGAAAATCAGCAGCATTGTTCCGAGTTTACAAATGTGACCAGGAGAGATTAGGATTAGAACCTTGAACCACTAATTGTTAGACTGGTGCACCAACAAAATGTTGTTACTCGTTTAAAATAGTATTTTCTTTTTCTAGATTTCATAGAATAGCTGACAATAACGACAACATATCATTCCATTGCTGGCTTGTTAATGAAGGCAAGGGTTTTCATCGATAAGAAGGGACTTGAATTAATTTTTAAAATACTAGCTATGGAATCGTTTAAAATGCCAGTACCTTAAAACATTTATTCGCATCAAATTCCTTTTAAGGAGGTGACAAGTGTCTGGATTGAAAACACCTGACCTCACTGAAGAGATCTTATCTAAGGAACCTCTGATGTATAGTGTACAAATGTTAATTTTTATTGATTACATAAAATATTGAGGGTTAGAAAAAAGCAACTATTTTTGTTCTATTCAATTCTTCTTTTTTGGTGAAATGAAACTTTTTCAAGGTCTTGATTAGAAATAACCTATCTTCTACCTATACTAGTTACCCTGGCTAGTTCAGTGTAATGTGTGTGATACCTATTGCCAGTATTGGTATTATAATGGTAAACTTCTTTATTAAATCTGCAAGAGTTTTGTTTGATAAAGGAGGTAGACTTTTCTCACCTGAAAAACTTGGCAATTGACCAAAACTTTAATTTCGACGCAAGCAGGCAGTTTATTTACCATGAATCAATGATGGCACTGCCATCGGTAGACACGGTAACTATTAAGAGCGAATTACAATACCGAAAAAAAAAATTGATCCAGAAAACAATTTACATTTTATAGATTTTTTTTTCATTTCCTTCGTCTCCCCTACCATACCCATCACATTTAACAGAGGACACGTTACTGTAAGTAAATACTTGTCCCAATAATTCCACACACAGATATGATGATCTTTCGATACCTGAGCTCTATGAAGAGATCTTATCATGGAACCTCTGAAGTGTGTGTGTTAATGTGTTTGAATGAAGGGAAGCTCATATTTTTAACCAAACTATGTCTTGAGTAACTTGTATGAAA